CGGGCCCGCCCTCCTCGTCCCTCTGCGGGAGCGCAGCCTCCGCGGCGGAAGGAGCTGGCGGAGCAGCCGGTAAGAGCCCGCCGCGGTGGGGCGGCCCGCAAGGGCCCCTTGGGGCACAGCCGGGCGGGCGGTAGGGCCTTCCCGCTCCGTGAGGGGCAGCCGCTTGTCCCGCACGTCGCCTGGCCCTCCCTCATGCGGAGGGCTGCTCAAGCAGGTGTGGGTAGCAAGCTGGCGCCCAGCCCGCTTCTGCTCGATGCGGGCTGAAGTTTAGAATAATCAACGTCACTAAAACTTGCCAGTACCTCCCCGGACCTGACTGTAATCATGGAGCACCGTTTTACTGCATACTGAGACGAAAAAAACCCGTTACTTATGCTTTCTCCTAACCGACCTTTCAAATACAGCCTCCCTCAACAAAAGCATATTCTACAACTCTCCTGCAATTGAAAAACTACTGTTTAAATATCATTTGTCTCATCGCACATTTCATATTACATGTAACTTAATGTGTTACACAGTAGTTGCTTAAAAGTAAGTCTGCAAAATCTACTTCCGTAAAATAGTACTTCTTAAAATTTAATTCCTGGTGGGCTGCTCAACTCTTTAACTGAGATACAATACTTGTGCTTCATAGTACTTACGCAGCCTTAACTTGAACGTGTATCCCGGCTGTATCACAGTAGAAGGTAAACAGTGTGGATACGTTGTTAACAATGTCTCTTCAACTATGTGACGGGTCCATTCCCACACAATTAAATACAGCTGGAATTTTACAGCTGGTGCAAATTAAACTGTATTTTAGTTAAAGCAGTTGAATGCTGAATGCATGGAAATGGAGATTTCTGAACAAAATAACAGTTCAACCATGTAAGTCCACATATACATCCTCTTCAGAAAAGTCCTCCTTATAACTATCTTGGTGTTCTTGCCATTAGCAGAAACACTCATTATTAAACAAGAGCACCACCAATTTTGGATAATTGAAACTAACTGGAGCAGCTCTTACTTTATCACATCAAGGTGTGGTGTTTTTCATATTGAACTTGATGAAAAACAGAAACATATAAAAACCCATGTTCTTCAGTGGAGGTGAAAAACAGCAAAGCCACAAATACAAAAAAAAAAAGCCCCAATCCTAGCTTGCCCACC